AATAAAGATATTATACAATCAATATTAGATAATAGCAATAATAGTGGTAATAACAATTACATAGTATAAGTAGTAAATAAACTTAAGAAAAAATTAAAGAAGCAATAATAATACTTATTATGTTATAAATAAAAATAACAATTTACTAATTAAGATATAACAAGATACTAATTAAGAAGAATATTATTAATATCAATACTAATAATAACAATAAAAATATGAGAACAAAAAGTTAATAATAAAACTAGTAGGTATCAAATGTAACTTTACTCAATAGACATATAATATGATTAAAGTTATAACATATTTAATAAATAAAAACATATTTAAACATTTAAAAAAAATTTTATTGTTAAAAAATATTAGTTTTTTAAACAATAAATTTAAAAAAATTTTTGCTACAGAACAAAAACATTTTTAAACTTTCTATAAAGTTTCGCTTCTTTTGAGACCCAACTTCATATACTTTGGGAAAAATTTTTTTTGGTAATATATGGCATCCTCCATTAGGGTGGATCGTTCTTTTTAAATTTTGGATATGGGAGCGCTTTAAATTATTTATTTATTTAATTTTTTACTTTTTTCATCACCCAAAATTACAGGTAAAATATAGAAAGGCCAAAAACTAATAGTTTATACTCTAAGTTGAAATTCTAATTTAGATTTTTCTTGAAATGCTTTCTTCCATCAAATTTTTGAATATCATTCTTTGCTCTCTGATGTTCTATAATTCAAAGGACTGGTTTAAAATTACCGTTATATTATCTTCTACATCATCATTACGACGATTGATAATGATTATTATCCCCTTCATTAAAGCACTTTTTTTTTTTTTTCGTCACAATATATTTTACATAGAATTAACTTTAGTTCATGTATACATTTATAAATATTAAAATAATGACAGGAGCAAGTAAAATACTGCAGTCTTATTATCAAGCACCTTTCATTTGCGACTTTGCAATAAGTTTCACGTGAGCATAACGTGATATTAAAAAAATCATAAGTAGAAATAAAGCAAATACTTAGCCTTGTACGTGAAAAACAAACCCATGTACGTAACAATCTGATAGATGAGTATAGAAAAGAATAACTATTTGTATTGTGATATAATCATCGTTTGTGGTCATCCAAAAGGGATAAGTTTGTTTTGGTTATTATTACAGGGTTATTCATTCTTATATACGCATCTATTCATTTTTATATGCGCCTTTATTCATTCTTATATGCGCATTTATTCATTTTTATATGCGCCTTTATTCATTTTTATATGCGCATTTATTCATTTTTATATGCGCCTTAATTCATTTTTATATGCGCCTTTTCATTCTTATATGCGTTTTACAAAAGCAATTGTAAAAAAGCAATTTGAACAAAAAAAAATCATTTAAGCAATTTGTTTTGAAAAAATAGTTTATTTTTTCAAAACAAACTTTTCTTATTTCCAGGTAAACAAGATTAAAAATACTTAAAACGAAGACCTTTTAAATTCGACGATGGTTTATTTAATTTAGTATTAGTTCTTTGTAATTTTATTATTAAATTTCTTGATTGATTAAGTTATTATTTATCTAATTATTCATTTATCTCGATTTAAATTTACTTATTTATAATTATTATTAATATCAAATTATACATCCCTATGTTTGTATATGCGTCAACCACCCATAAAATCTCTAATATAATTTAATATAAACGATAAATACGCTTTTAAATTTTTATATAGACATATTTAAAATATAAATTAGGTTGTTTTCATTGTTATTTATTTAAGAAATGGTTGCCGAGCCAGCGCTTGATTTATATAACTACGCATATGGTTGTAAAATGGAACTATATTAAACTCTGTAGTATCCATAATATTTTTAAGTTTCCTGATTACCTCATCTGTATTTTGAGGCCTTTCTCCCTGTTTGTAAGTATGTTTTAAAGAAGACAAAAATTCTTCTATTGGATTAAGCTGTGGCGTGTAAGCTGGCAGATAATAGCTATACCAAGAGAGGCTAGTGTTTGCCTAACAGAAAGGCTCCAGTGGAATTTACAATTGTCCATAACAAGCACCGGCGCTTCCACATTTGCATTCCTAATCGCTGGTTCCATCATTGTAGTTATGAAAGTACAAAATGAATCTGCATTCCAGCCTCCAGTTTTTGTTTCATAAGCAAGCACTCCCATTGTTGAAACAGCACAAATTAAACTAACATTCTTGCCACGATTTGCAGGCGACTGTAAAATTGCTGGCGCACCTCTTAGCGAATAACCATATGTGCTGTTAGTGTGCACATTAAATCCAGTTTTATCCAAATAAATAAGTTTTTCATCTGAAATTCCGTTAATTTCGCTTGCATAATATTATTAATGCATAACGTGCATTAATAATTCGTGTTGAATTTCGTTCTTCTGGCACATGTCCAACATGTTTTCTTGATAAATCTGAGCGCTTGAGTTTTCTTGAAATAGTAAGCTGAGACATGTTGAAGCCTGCTGCAGAAAGATTTTCTTTTATTGCTTCTTGAGTGCAAAGATTGTTTTCTTGTACGCATAATTTGATAATATTTTTTTATTTGAGCGTTTATAGGTCTTTCACCTTGTTTTTTTATCAGAAGACGACTTGAATGCAGTCATGTCGTCGAATTCTCCTCTGTTTAACTTAATGACAAGATTTTGAACTGTGCGCTTCGATAAATTAAGAGAAGTGGAAATGCTTGTTGTAGATTGATTTCTTTCAACTAAATGCTTAAGCATTTCAATTTGCTCTTTTGTAACATTTTTCCTTGTTTTACGATTATTTTCTATTCCATCCATAGGGTAAAAATTTGGTATTAATAATTTTAAATAATTAAATAATAAATCTAGGAAAAAAAGTAATTAGTTAAAAAATAGCTTAATCAATCAAGAAATTTAATACAATAATACAATTTAATACAATGTAATAAAATTAAACTAAGAACTAATACTAAATTAAATAAACCATCATCAAATGTAAAAAGTCTTCGTCTTAAGTATTTTTTAACTCGTTTACCAGGAAATAAGAAAAATTTGCTTTGAAATAATAAACTGCTTTTTCAATGATTTTATTAAACGATTTTTTTTGGTTCAAATTGCTTTTTTACAATTACTTTTGTAAACCACATATAAAAATGAATAAATGCGCATATAAGAATGAATAAAGGCGCATATAAAAATGAATAAATGCGCATATAAAAATGAATAAAGGCGCATATAAAAATGAATAAATGCGCATATAAGAATGAATAAAGGCGCATATAAAAATGAATAAATGCGCATATAAGAATGAATAAAGGCGCATATAAAAATGAATAAATGCGCATATAAAAATGAATAGACGGGCATATAAGAATGAATAACCCTGTAATTTGATCTCTAAAAATACGAGAGTATGTTGATGTCACTTAAGTTAAATAGGTGCTGTTTGACAGCTGCTTTAAAGAGATTTAATGACTTGATGTTTTTTATTTCTTCTTTAAGGGTCGAATTTTATAGCCGTGGTATTCGAGATAAGATAGAGAAGTCAGTTATTTTAAGTAAAGTCTTCGGAATGTTAAAGCTTTGAAAAGAGTACTTTGTTGGGTGTTTGTGATCAATGTTGGAAAATTGATTTTCAAATTATTTTGGTAGTAAATTGTTTTGCGATTGAAACATAAATAATACATTTTGGAGAAGGTTCAGTTCATAAACATTTAGAGCTCCCATTTCCCTGAATAATGGTTTGGCATGGGTATATCTGTTAGCATTGCATACAATTCCACATGCTTGCTTTTGTTTTACATATATTTTTTTTAGTACGGAAGAGTATGTACTTGCTCAAACGACATTGTATTAGTTGATATAACTGTAAATGAACAAATAATATATATTTTTTAAGGAAATTTTATTTAGAAGATGTTTTATTTTATGCATGATGCTAATTGACTTGGAGATTTCATTTTCGATGTGCAAGTTTAATTCTTCCAACTAAGATTTTCTTGAAAAAGTATACCTAGGATTTTCATTGAATGGTCTCTTTCTTTATTAATGTTGTTGGTCATAAACTGGGGAAGCTGAAGTGGTAACAGAGTTAGATGATTTGTAAAATAAAGTAAATATCGTTCACATAGAGTAAAAATAGTAAAGGTACAAGAATGGAGCCTTTGGGTACACTACAACTACGTGTTTGTAACCGTATACATGTTGAGTTGTACGACACTCCTTGTTTCCAGTTATTTAAGTAATTTCTAAACCATTTTAAATTGTTGTTTGTTACTCCATATATCTCTAGTTTGTGTAGGAGAATCTCGTGGTCAACTGTTTTGAATGCTTTGGTTAAATCTATTGGTTAAACACTGAATGAGGCTTAGCTCCAGGCAAATTTTCAATACTTCGTATTGAAATGCAATGAGTTCCAGTTTCAAATTTTCATTACTTCGTTGATGAAGCAGTTATCTTTTTTAAAATCAGATATTTGAGTTAAAATCAAGGAAAAACAAGTCGATTAGCTCAATAATCTGATAAACAGATTCAATTTGTTTCGAACGAGGATGGTAGATACGTTATCAATTTTAGTAGAAATGCAGATATTTTTTTCTGTATTTTGATATACTAAAGAAAAATGCTGATCTTTCAAAAGCTTGTATCGTCAAATATTTGAAATAGAAATGCAGATATTTTAAAAATGGCATTTTTTTAGCTTTTCTATAGACTAGCCCAAGGTTAACTTGGGCTAATTACCTTGGGTAATTACCTTGATAAATATATTAATGCATTTATCAAATAACAATTAACATAATATTTGGTGATACTTAAACTGCAATAATTTGAATCAAATACTTAAAAGATTTTAAAAACATTTTTAAGTGTACTTATAGACTTCCTTAGAAAGATATTTTGGTCTTTTTAGATTGATCAAAAGTTTGACAGTTAATTTGCATCATCTTTAATTTTTAAAAACAACATTTTTTTCAACTAGTTTTTATTTATTTATTGTTTGTTTTTTGTTCTAGTTGAAACTTCAGACCCTGTTGAGCAGAAGTTGATTAAAAGTAACTTGAATGCAACACTATCCTTTCTAGAAAAAACCTATTCAGTTTCTTTTAAAATAAAACCCAGATCATATTCATTCGGGTGGAAAAGCGTTATTCATTTAACAATCGGAGGCAATTTGGGTCGATATGGTGATAGATGCCCAGCCGTATGGTTTCTTTATGATGGCTCAGGGAGGTTATATATTTCATCAGCTGTCAATGGAAATTACGATTATATTTTTACAACCGAGCCTCTGCCGTTAAATCAGTGGTCCAGTTTACGAATATCACAGTTTCAAATAAATGGAATTTATATGTATACAGTGTATTTAAATGAGTTACTTGTTCATAGTGTTGTAAATAAAAAGCCACAATCTTTTTCAAATGTTAAAGTTTATACTGCAGATCCATGGTCTGATGCACAAGATGGCTCCATTAAAGATCTTAAAATTACAGGTGGAAGAAGTGGTGAGTAATTCTAATTTTTATACAAAAAAAAATTAGATTTAACTTTTTAACCATTACTCTGAGACCTTTGCATTGAATAAAACTCCGCCACAGCTGTAATAACTAATTGAATGATCATGCTAGTTATATAAGAATATTAGAATCAAAAGCTATAGTTACATAAGATCAATAAATGTTTCTCAAAATGTATTTGTACAACAGTCTTTAAACACTAAAACTCTGTGTTTTTTTAAAAGTCTTAAGTTCATGTATTGACACAATTTTCCAAAACTTTTAAAAGTTATTGGGTATGTTTCCTGTGCAGCAGAAATTGTCGATTAAGGGCGGAGGACGAAACCCTATGGGACTATTACTATCGGCAAAAATAGGGATGGATTTGATCATTAAAAAAAGAGTCAATTCTGCCAAATAAAATTTATCTTCCAATTTTATTTCTCTTGGTTATAGTAACTGCATTTTATTTTTGAAACAAACTTACAAAATAACCACTTTTTTTAGTTAGCTAAGAGTACTTTTTGAACTGATGCATTTTTGCATCATATTTGAATTTATTTTTTTTGATTGCAGATTCCGTAAGATTGTCGTTTAAAAAAAAAGATAAAGGTATCCAATGCAAACTGGTATACAACAATGTTTTCAATCATTGTTAAAGTTCTAGATAAATAAAATAAGTGTTGTGTTTTCTCTCTGATCCTAGCTTAAGGGGTAAACAGATTCTATCTGTTGACCAGCCTCGCACCCCTTCTCCATCTATTAAGCTGGCGCAGATGTATTTTTAATACATTGTTTCCAGTTTAGGATGTTGAACGCTGGATCTTCTTGACTCGATGCATGGGTTTTGCTTTTGTCTCTGTTTTTATGACTAGGCAACTCATTCTATTATCTCCAAATGAGGGTACAGCTCTAAAACTCAGTTTTATTGTTCTGAGGCCGGCTGGTAGTCAGGTTTCCCAAACTCTGTGGTAGCTCTCAGAGAGGCTGATTCCATCAACAGCTGAAAAATATCAGAGTTCTAACAGTGCCATGTTGCGCATGGATGGTGTCCCTGTTTGTACTTTTGGTGTGCATTGCCAAGGCCACATTGGAGCCCTTTGTTACGGCTTAGGGTTTATTAGTGGAAATGAGGCAATTGCTTGAGCTATAAAACAGTGTACTGAGTACTATCTATGTTTCGAGTCAAGTTCTTTAACAAATTTAAAAATGAATAAAGTAACAAAAACTATAAAACACAAAAAAACACAGTCATCATCAAGTTCGCTAAACCTATCATTCACCAATATTTGTGGTCTTCAAAGTAACTTTTCTTCTACTGAGTCTTATCTCTTGCAAAGTTCACCAGACCTACTTGCTCTTTGTGAGACTAATTTGAGTTCAGCTGTCTCATCTTGTGATCTTAGTGTTGATGGTTATCTTCCTTTAATTTGTAAAGACTCCAATAGTCACATGCTTGGCCTTGGCATTTTCATTCGTAAGAATTCACCCATTTGTCGGGAAACTAGGTTTGAATCCACAGACTACTCTTTTATGTGCTTTTGTTTAGCACCACTTCACTCTATCACCTTTCTCTTTGTTCTATATCGCTCTCCTTTATCTCAAGACTGCACTCTTCTCGATGTTATTTTTAATTATATTGACCAAGCCCTCATTCTTTATCCATCAGCCAATATTGTTGTTGTCAGTGACTTTAATGTTCATCACACTGAATAGCTTGGCTCAAGTGTCAATGACTCTGCAGGCATTAAGTCCCACAACTTATGTCTTTCTCAATCCCTAACTCAAATAGTCAACTTTTCAACTCGCTTTCCAGACAACCCAAATCATTTACCTTCTCTACTCGACTTATGTCTTGTTTCTGATCCTAGTCAGTGCTCAGCTTCTTCACACTCACCCTTAGGTTCTCCTGATCATGGTTTGGTTTCTCTAAAACTATTATCTCATCTTTCTTTACCATCAGAATCCCCCTATCATCGTACATCTTACAACTACCTTAAAGTTGACTGGGACTCTTTCCGTGATTTTCTTCGTGATGGCCCCTGTGTAGAAATCTTTTGTCTCCCTGTTGACAAAGGTGCTTCTTACATAACTTCGTGGATTCAGGCTGGCATGGAATCCTTTATTCCCTCTCGACGATTCCAGGTCTCACTCTTCTCCATGGTTTTCCTCACATTGTGCTGCTGCAATTGCCAATCGAAACCATTACTTCCATATCTATCAGCAAAACAATTCTCCAGAAAACAGATGTCTGTTTATTACTGCTAGGATCCATTGTAAAAAGGTTTTGTCTAATGCCAAAGTCCGCTATTCTCAGATCATGAAATCTCGTATTTCATCACAAAAATTAGGCTCTCGTGACTTCTGGAGAATCTTTAATAGTATCAATAATAAGGGCAAGTCTGTAATTTCACCTCTTTTGTATGGTTCAGACTTTTTCACCTCACCTAAAGACAAAGCTGAATTGTTTGCTAAGAACTTTTCATCAATATCATCTCTTGATGCCACTAGTTGCGTTCTACCTGATATAGCCGTCAAACAGGTTGATCCATTGCTAGACATTCGTATCACTCCAGCTTCTGTATCTAAAGCGATTTCCCGCTTAGACTCTTCTACAGCTTGCGGCCCGGACAACATACCTGTTATAGACTTGCTGAAATGTTCTCCGGAGTTGTCGTCTATCCTTTAAAAACTATTTAACAAGTGCTTATGGGAGTCTTGTTTTCCAGCCTTCTGGAAAGCAGCATCTGTTATCCCTATTTTTAAAAATTCTGGAGAGCAATTTGTCTAACTTCCGTCCCATTAGTCTTCTTCCTATCATAAGCAAGGTTTTTGAATCTTTAATTAACAAACACTTAATCTCTCATCTCGAATCTCATAACCACCTTTCTGATTATCAATATGGATTTATATATATGGATTTCGATCTTCTCGTTCTACGGCTGATTTGCTATCAGTAATAACCGATAGGTTTTATCGTGAATTAGATAAAGATGGAGAGGTTGAGGCCATTGCTCTTGACATTTCTAAAGCGTTTGATAAAGTTTGGCATGCTGGTCTTCACCATAAGCATACTGGTCTTCTCCATAAATATTTCTCCATTATTATTTTCATAGGCATGCTGGTCTTCTCCATAAATATTTCTTCTTACGGTGTATCTGGAAACATCTTTAAGATTATTGAATCCTTTCTTTCCAATCGTAGTATAAAAGTTGTCCTTGATGGACAGCACTCTTCTTCTTGTTCTGTAACCTCAGGGGTTCCCTAAGGTTCAATCCTAGGCCCTATACTCTTTTTAATTTACATTAACGATCTTCCAGATATTCTCACATCTAAGGTGGCATTGTTCGCTGATGATACTACCATTTATTCTTGTCACAATAAGAAGCCAACTTCCTCTGATTGCTTGCAGTGGGCATTTAAGCTTGAAAAGGATCTCACCTCTGCTACAGCATGGGGCTCACAGTGGCTGGTGAACTTTAATTCAGATAAAACTCAATTTTTTCGGCCAATCGTTATCGCAATAGTTTAGACTTTCCTATATTTATGAACAGTAATGTTCTCGATGAGTCTCCTACCCTATATCTTCTAGGATTAACTCTTACTTCTGATCTTTCTTGGAAACCTTATATCAAATCCGTTGCAAAATTAGCATCTGCTAAAATTGCTTCTCTTTATCGAGCTCGTCACTTTCTTACTCTGGATTCTACTCTCTATCTCTATAAATCTCAAATCCGGCCTTGTATGGATTACTGTTGCCATATCTGGGGCGTATCATCTAATGATGCCTTTTCTCTTTTAGACAAGGTGCAAAAACGCATTGTAAACATAGTTGGACCTGCTCTTGCAGCCAATCTTCAATCTCTGTCACATCGTCATAATGTTGCTTTTCTTTCTCTTTTCTACAAATACTATAATGGGCACTGCATAAAAGAACGAGCGTCTCTTGTGCCATCTACTAAAATTCATTCTCATGTTACTCGTCATTCAATTAAGTCTCATCCTTTTTCTGTTACTGTTCCTTAGTGCTCCAAAAACTCTTATTTATCTAGTTATTTTCCTCGAACATCAGTTCTTTAGAATTCCCTTTCTTTATCTTGCTTTTCTGATTCATATAATTTGCAATCTTTTAAGTAGTCTGTCAATCGTTATCTTGCTCTACAATTTTCATGTTTCTCTTCCAGTAACTTCCAACACTAATTAGTGGTTGCTTGCTGCCTTGTTGGAAATGAAGATAAAAAAAAAGCTTGTGTTCAGTTACTTTTTGTTCTCCTTCAGACAGTTCATTTATGATATGGGTATGCTCTAAATCTTTTATTTTACGCTTCTTCAGAATCTATCATCACACTAGATACTACTACCATAAAGCTGACTCAGATTTTCATTGAGACCGCCTTCGGGTTGATTTCTTGTTTTTCTCTGTTAATAATTGTGCCTCACTTGCGATCTCCTGGTTTCAAGCAGATATGCAAGCTTTTATTTTCCTTGGTTTCAAGTCAAGCTCTACCCTAGACTTTTTTACCTTCTTGTGCAGTTGCTCTTTCTAATTGCTATCGTTTTTTTTTTATCTTTTTTACAAGAACAACTCTCTTGAAAACTTTTTAGTCTGGACTACTTTTTAGTTTATCTCAGAAGTTGGGTTCTAGAGACCTTTGGAAAATCTTCAACAGTGTCATTAACAAGGTCTAACATTCCATCTCTATCACATTGATTGAACTTATTACATCTCCCAAGGATAAGCCAGAACCAATCTTCTTATTTTTTTATTCCTCTATTCCTCTTATTGAACATTGGAATACAATGGCACTCTTCCTATCATTCCAGCCGAACAGATTAAGCTATTGTTAGTCATCCAAATCACTCAGACTAACTTTGCTAAAGTTATTTTTTTTCTAAATTTATCTGCTGATTGTGGTCCAGATAACATTCCTGTTATAGTCTTGCAAAGGTGTTCTCTAGAGTAAAACTCTTTTCTTTTCAACAAACTGTTTAACAAGTGTTAAATTGAATCTTGTTTTACTGCCTGCTGGAAAATGCCATCAAAATTTAAAACTCTGGTAAACACTATGACCCTTCTAACTATTATTCATTTAATTTTCTCTTTAATATTAGCATGGCCTTTGAACAATCAATCAAAAAATTTCTAACATTTCATTTTGAGACAGATAACTTGCTTTCTGACATTAACAGATCTCGGATCTCGGTTCTCTTGTTCTACAGATGACTTGTTAAATAATAGAAAGATTCGATTGTTCATTAGATAGTGGCGACATAACTAAAGCTTTCACTGAAGTCTGGCATTCTAGTCTTCTCCATAAGGTGGCTTCATATGGTATATCAAAAAATATTTTTGAGGTTATTAAATCATTCCTTTCTAATAGTAGCAAAGTCATCCTTAAAGCCTGATACTATATTTCATTTCCAATATCTTCTGGGAATCCATAAGTTTCTGTCCCTGGGCCTGTATTGCTTCTTAAGTTTGTTAATGATATTCCTTACAATCTTACCACTAAAGTGGTTCTATTTGCTGACAACTCAACCATATACTCCTTGATAAAAAGTCATCAAATTTTGATCTCTGTAACAGCCTTTCTTTGGTTTTTTGACAAACTAATGTAAATGTAGTTGGACCTGCTGTTTCTGCAGAGGGTTAAACTAATATCCCATTTTCTTAAAGCTGCATCTTTTTTCTACAAATACTATTATGGTCACTTGCTATTATCTTTAGTTGCATCAACTTGCTATTATCTCTAGTTGCATCAACCAAAGCACATTCTTACTTGACATTTAGAAAAGTTATTTTACTGTATCTGTTCCTTTATGCTCTAAAATCTTGTTTTCATTTATTTTTAATCCTTGCGAATTGCTTAATTAATGCTTTGGAACTCTCTACCATCTTTATGTTTTCCTTTCTCATAAAAGTTACAGTTTTTAAGTATTGCAGGCAACCATTCTTTAAGATGGTTTACAGACAACCATTTTTTAACATGAATTAATTTTAAAAAAATATATAGAACTAGTATTTAAAGAAATCATCAAAAACACTAATATTTGCATTTTGTCTTTAAACTAAAATACTTGCTATTAAAATTCTTTAATCTTAGAATAATTTTTTTTTTCATTATAGAGACCCTTTGCAAAAAATGAGATAAAAAAGAAAAAAGGAATCATTATTTTTAATTAAAACTTATATTCTCTTGAAAGTGTATTATCAATTAAAAAGTGTGTTCATTTGATAATAGGGGCTTTTCAAGCCCTAAACTTTTTTACTTTTTCATTATAAATATTTAATTTAAACAAGCATGAGCAAGTAATTATATTACTTTTACTGTTATAATTATCAGCTATTATTAAGTTATTGTTTATATTGTCATATTATTTTGAAATATATTATTTAAATTGAAATATTAAAAAGTATACTTAAAATATAATCTTAAATTTAAAGTATAATTAAAAATTAAAAAAAAAAATTAAAAACTTTTTTTTCAAAAGGAATCTGGATTCCAATGATGACTCGTTTTTCCAAATGGGATTCAAGTTTTTGGAATAGGAGTTACGAGTCTTATGAAAATGGTTTTGGTCTAATTAATCAGCAATGGATTGGTTTAAAAAAACTTTATCAAATAACAAACACTTTTTTCACAGATATGAGAGTTGATTATTTTTTCGAAGAGAGTATTACATTTAGTACAATGTATTATAATTTTAGTATTGGTTCGAGCAAAGATAGTTATGTGTTAAGCTATGAAAGTTACGATCCGAGAGACTGTAAGCCTTAAGTCATGCTATTACTTTATTTATTGTTTTCTTATATTTACTATTTAATTATTTTTTTATTATATTCATTATTTATTCATTGTTTTCTTGTATTTATTATTTATTACAATCATCTATTATTGTTTATTATTTTTTTATATTTATTATTCAGTATCAAAACTTCATTTTATTAAAATAATCTGTTTTTTGCAGTAGGTTTGTTTGTATTTTATACGAATTGTTTGTATATTAGTAGTATATTAT